AACTGAAAATCTGGGGCGACTTTAAGTTGGTCGTAAAGCAAACACTTGGTGATTTTGCCTTAAAGGGACCTCTTTTGGCTCCATACTGCACCGTAGTTCAAAAGTTACTTACTCAGTTCGATGATGTCCAGATATAACATACCCCCTGAACACATAAGTGTTTTCCCAATGCCTTAGCTACACTGGGGGCAAAGGTGGATATACCAAACAATAGTATAGCCATGGTCATCGAGAAGAGAGCAACACCAGTAGTATTAGCTGAGATACGTGCAGAGCAAGATGTTGAGAGATGCAAAGAGGACATAATCCAACAACTGAAAATAGGTCAAAGAACTATCAGACTGACAGAACTTGCATCATTCTTGCTCTTCAGAGGAGAGTTATATTTTCGTGGCCCCAACAATCTGTTAGCAAGGTGTGTCGATGGACAAGAGGCAACTTATAGACTCTAGTAGATCCATGCTAAGTCCTGCGGAGACAGAGATATCAACATATACCGACGGATACAAAGGTAGGGGTATTACTGGGTAGAGATGGAAAATAAAAGCACTGAGTTGCAGAGGCAATGTGCGAAATGCCAATCTCATCCTAAAGAATAAGAAGCCATTTCTTAAGCAGTGAAGGATGGAAACAGCCATACATTGACTATCTTGAAAATGGCACAATGCCTGAGAACAAAGCCGATGCAATTAGAGCTAAGAGGCGGGGCTCCCGTTTCTTTCTTGACAGAAGAAAGCTGTACTAGAGAAACTTCGAAGGGGTACCTTTGGCATGTTCATCCAAAGATGAGGCAAATTAAGTGTTGAAGGAAGCCCACAAGATAGCGTATCAAGAAGGACAAGGACTGTACGAGCACCTTATTCACCTCAGCTATTATTGGCCGACGATGAAGGAGGATGCCAAGACCTTTGTAAGAAGATGCCAATCTTGCCAGAAGTTTGGGAATCTAATACATGCGCCAACAGTCAAGCTATACAATATCAAGACACCTTATCCATTTCACACTTGGGTATTTGATTTAATAGGCCCTATAGCACAACAGTCTAAAGGCCATATATGGATACTTGCAGTGACCGAAGTCAGTACCAAATGGGTAGAAGTTATGCCAATAAGAAAAGCAGACAGTGAGGGAGTGGCCAACTTCATCAAGGAAAACATCATTTGTAGGTTTGGCATACCCAAGGTGATGTTGTCTGACATCACTTTGGAATGGGTAAGGTGTCATAATTAACCAAGAAAGGTATGTTGTCTTGTTCCTCTTCGGCCTCTGTAGAAGTACCTCTCCGATTTTTAGATCATACCAAGAACCATATTTTCATGCTTTGTGAAAAGCACTTTGAAGGGCGGTGACAGCAGTCTGCTCTGTGATAGTTAAAGATGCAGGGTCGAAGGGGTGGTCTCCACGAGTGCTTAAGCATAGCAGGACTGAAATAGCCACCATCTTTAGTATTGTCGACACCACCATTTGAACTTGCCACGGGAAATAGCCACCGCGACAACTACATAACTTGCGAAGGGAACACCCCACCAAGGTCATAGTAGCCTTTGAAAGAAGCTCCCCCTCCATAAATAGAGGCTAATGCTTGGCGTTGGTAACAGGCCCCAAAGTATTACTAGCCTAGCGCTGATAGCAAGCCCCAAAGCTTACTAGTTAGAGCTGATAGCTGGCCCAGAGATACCAGTATACCACGGTGACTCTGCGAAGATGGGAGCAGGGCAGCCCGAGTACAACGGACTCACTTTCCATCCACCAAATTGGTCACATAGGCAGGACCAAGGAAGCCCCTTTGGGGTTGGTACTAAGGCACAGCATGGCTGATAGTACGATTGGTTGTGGCCTTTGCCCTCGGAAGCTGGGGAGTTTGTGGTTAGATGGCTAAGAGTGGAGGCTTCGTTGAAGTGAACACGAAAACACGACTGATAACAGGCTATAAAATCCTAAGAATGCATGTCTTGGCTAAACTAAACTAAAAAGGCTAGTGCAGTGACAAACATTACCATCACAAGTGCATTCTCTGAGGTTCAGGCCAAGGAGGCAAGTTGTAGCGGCAAACACTCCCACCGCAAGTGCACTTGCTAAGGCATTTATGCCAAATAGATAGTACACAGTACATGCAGAGGGACACATGGCACCTTCAGCCTAGTGGCCCAAGGTAGAATATTCCATGTGATTCTTAAGGACACATGTCCTTATTTTATTTTGCCACTTCGTATCCTTTGGTACCAAGGAAAAGCCTATAAATAGGAGCCATTTCCCAATGTCCAAAAGTGGATTTCCTGGGAATTTGGGGGACATTATCTTCTTCTTGAGCCATTTGCTCCGCCTTCACCTAACTGCTCATTCTCCAACTTCCCTAGAGTTTTGTTAACTCATCCTCCAACCATTCCATCTTTATTAGACCATTAACATAGTTTTGCCTCTCTAATTATTCTCTTAATCACTGCTCACATCAAACCTTCCTACACATAGCAATTTAGAAGCCTATGTTCAACATATGAGTGAGTTATGTCTTATTATTTTTAATGTCCGCCATGTTTGCTAGCGTCCATAAATCTATTGAGAGTTCCTAATCGGAACCGAATTCTCTTATAGTTTCAACATGGTATCAAAGTGAGGTTGATTGCAAATGGGTTTGAGTTGAGTTTTTCTTATCGACATTTAGGATTTGATATATATATAAAACTAAGTCTTTGTTTTTTTCCAATTTCTGCGAGTTAAGAGTATATGATCGGATGGTCCAAAAGAAAAAGAAAAAAACAAAAATTAGGTTTTTTTGTTGTCTAATACTCTCTACATGCGTGTGCCTACAAATTCATAAGGATTTGACCCGTTGAGCAAGTGTTTCCACTACAACAAATGCACATTTGGCGACTAAAATTGGCGACTAAAAAAAATTTAGCCGCCAAAAGTTGGGGAATTCGCGACTAATAATTTTTTTAGTTGGCAAAAGTAAAATATTTAGCTACTAATTTTTTTTAGTTGGCATATATTGATTATTGGTGACTAAAAAAATATTAGTTGCTAAAAATTCCAAAATTGGCAACTAAAAAAAATTTAGTCGCCGCATATTGAGTTTTGGCTACTAAAAGCATTTAGTCGCCGATTGGAAAGTAAAAAATTATTTTTTTTATCTTTGGTGATCAAACTTTGGTCGCTAAAAATATATTTTCAGCGACAAAATTTTTTTTTAGTCGCTGTAGAGTCTTTTTGGCTACCAAAATGATTTCATCGCCGAATTGAAAAAAAAATTATTTTTATCTTTGGCGGCTAAAAATTTGGTCGCCAAAAATTTATTTTCAGCAACAAAATTTTTTTTAGTCGCTGTAGAGTTAGGTTTGGCTAGTAAAATTATTTAGTCACCGAATGAAAGAAAATAATTACTTTTATCTTTGGCAACCAAAACATACTTTAGTCGTCAAAGATGATATATTTTAGAGACCTTTCAAATTTTGAATGGATTTAAAAAATTAATTGGCGACCATTAGGTATTTTAGTCGTCAATTGTGTAAAATGATATATATATATATATATTGTACCAAACCAAACCCTAAAATAATCAGCGCCTCTCTCTCTCTATATATATATTTTCGGCGTCCCTCTCCCTCCTCGTCTCCGCTACTCCTCTTCCCTCCTTCTCTCACTGCCACTCTTCCTCGCCTTCGCTGGAAACCGGAGCACCTCCTCCTCCTTCGCCATTGCCATCGTCATTGTGAGTATTGCCGATCTTTTCACGCCGCGTCGCCTCCTCCTCCGCCGATCTTCACAGATCCATTGCCACTGCCGCGAGATCCAGAGGCTTCATCGCTGAGATGAACTCTATGCCATTGATGCTCCGTCTCGCGCATGCTCTCTTTCTCTCTCTCTCTCTCAAAATATTCAGAGGTTTCCTGTGGGGATCTTAAAGATCTGATTGGTCCTTTTGATTCTCCATCTAAGGGAGAAGAAAAATGGGGATTGTGTTTACTCGATTGTTCTCTTCGCTTTTTGGTAACAAAGAAGCTCGGATCCTCGTTCTTGGTCTTGACAATGCTGGAAAAACCACAATTCTCTGTATGATTCTTTGATTCTGCCCTTACCTTTTTCTGTCAACTGGGTTCTCCCCAATTTTGATAATTGAGTAACTCGATTTCATTTTTTTGTGCAGATCAGCTTCAGATGGGTGAAGTTGTCTTCACAATTCCAAGTTGGTACTCTTTCTTGGTTTCTTTTTGTTTGCATAATATTTCTTTGTTTGCCAAGAAGATCAGGGGATTGGAGACCATCGGATTCATGATTTACAAATTGATAAAATTTTTAATTTAAAAATTATAGTGCTGATTTACTGCATTTTTTTTTTCAAAAGTGGAAAGTTTGATACTTCACTCTAAAGTGTCATATTTTCTTATTTTGGAACTTGTGGATTAATTTCTGTGTGTATATATTTGATGCAGCAATTGGGTTTAATGTGGAAACAGTTCAATATAACAACATAAAGTTTCAAGTTTGGGATCTAGGTATGCCAGCTTATTACTTTTGACTATCTGTGTTATCTTATCTGTTGCCAGATCATTACTATAAATATATCATTGTTTGTCCCAAAATAGTTATTGTGCATTATGTCCTACGTGCTTTGTATTGGGTTTTAATAATTAATTGCAATTTGTAATAATCAATTTAAGTCTAAGAATTTGACTTCCCTCAGCCAGAACTCACACTTCCCAAACTTG